ATTAACAGCAACACACACACATACAGCCTTCCAGAGTGTTCTGTGTGTGTGTGTGTGAGCAGCGAGGCCAGGTTGCTTGTGGGAAGAAATATGATCCCAGAGGGTGGGGCTGCCCCATGGATCATCGCTCACTCTCTCATCTATGAGTGCCTGTCATGCTTCTCATAGACTCTGGTCCAGCTCAGTGTGTGGATTGTCAGGGCTGCTTTTGAACACCTCCACATGGCCTTGTCAGCTGTGGATAGAGGTATGAAAGACTCTCTGGCTCCCTCAGCCATTTGAGGTAGCACCTATATTTACCAAGCATGCCAGTATTAAAACTTCAAATGGTAACTAATAGAATCTGTGAGGCAGGAGTGGGCTACGCGATAGGACGACTTGTGAACTATTTAATGACGTGAGGAGGATAGTCTCGGAGAAAAGTGAGCTGGCAGATGCAACACAATATCAAACCACTTGTCAGGAGGGATCCCAGTTGCCTTCTGTTGGGACACTTCCACCGAGGGAATCCAAGAAATGAAAACCATCTCACTGCACTGATACGGTGTCGGCGCAGCCCCACCAGAGCAGAAACATGCCAATTTCCTTTTTCAACACAAATGACTGATGAGAAAGTAGGCTGCTGTTTTCTTTTTTCCCCCCCTCCCTTCAGTCATACACAGAAGGAGCCTGGTGACAAGGGGTCATCTTCTTCATCATTTGCCAAAGATCGCAGAACTTTTACCTGGAAAGAGTCAATCTGACATTTCAGACCACATGTGTTGACGGTTTTGTATTTTTGTTGTGGAGACTAAAGGTAAGTTAAAAGAGAAAAGGTTTATCTTTATTTGTGGAGTTGTGGATTTTTCTTTTTACACGACTAGAACATTTGGATAACGAGTGAAATACTGTTGGTGAATAATTGTGATCATTATTAGATAATGCAGTGTGATACAAAAACTTATAAATAAGGAAACTGTGATAAGGCAAACAGACTGAAAGCTGACTGATATGTACATTTTATCTTATTTTTAATATTGTTCTGTTTATTCTGTGTTATAGGCTGTAACCCGAGCTATAAACCAGACTAAATTAATAACTCGCACTGACAATAACTCAAGCACATCTTTGAGTGTTGAGGACCTGGGTTTAATGGCCCAGATAGTTTCTCCCTGTGGACACAGTGGCCTTGTTTCAACAAATTACACGATAAGCTCTCGGGGGCTGAGAATCCTCTGAGTTTGGAAATGATTATTTTTTATAACTAACAGGTTGAGTCCAGTATAACTTGCTGTAACCTGTATATGACTGTATTGTTATTCTGTGTCTTTATACATTTCATGTCTTGTTTTAGAGGACTAGAGGTTTAATATCATCATAAGTAGTAAAAGTAATAAATTGCTGTCTCTTGTTTTCCTTCACTCACTATTGCAATCGTACGTGTGTGTTTTTGCCATGTGCATCATGTTAAGTCTCCTGTAATCATGATCATTGTTCCTTTGTGCTCTTTTACAAACTCAGACCTGGAGTTAGATTCACACCAGGTTCTGGATTTAATTTTTTGTCATCATTATCATTGATTCTCAGATATGGAGAAACAGTTGAGGGGGAAGCAGTGGAAGTATTCAGATCCTTTACTTGAGTAAAAATAATAATACTTTATTACAAGTAAAATACAAGTAAAAGTATAATCAGCAAAATATACTTAAAGTAGTCAATGCAGAAATATGTACCCTGTGACACCTTCACACTCCAACCAATAGTCCAAACCTCATTATTAAAAATTAATTAAAATGATACTTTTTTATGCACACAAAATGACTTAAATGATTATCAAAACAGTTAATTTTGTGTCAGTCAGCTGTACTTGTATACTGTTGGACAGTTTAATTTATAACAAAACATCATATTTTATAAGCTCTTCATCTGTTTTGTGTGAAAAAGTCTTAAGTAAACTGTCAGACAAATGCAGTGCTGTAAAAGGTATTTCCTTCTGAGATGTAGTGAAGTAGAAGTATGTTAGACTTGAGTATAGAATCTCAAATTTGTACTTTATTCCAGTATTTGAGTAAATGGACTTCAGTCAGAAGTCAGTCAGTTAGTTTCAGATCTTTATATATATGTGTGTGTGTGTGTTTGTGTATATGTGTGCGTGTGCTTGCTGTTTAGATACTAATTGCAGATTATTGCTCGCCCATGCAAAAAAATGTAAAAACCTCTACCTCTTTGTTTTGAGGATTGTTATTGTTTGTGTAAGTCACATATTTTAACATAGACACCAATGTGCTGTAACTGTTCATGGTTCATTGCTCAACAGTACAGAGTTTTTAAATAACGGCCTTTTGTTCTGAAATGACAGCTTGTAAACTTCAAAGTCATCTTTAGCAAGCCATTATGAAATGGGAGAAGTTAAAGCCTCCAGAGCCAGATGATCCTATGTGTTGCTGTGAGTGTGATATCTACCAGTACGGATGTTGCTGTGACTGTGAAGATCTGGATGAAGCCTTTAACAGGTATGAAGGGCTTGAGGAAAAGGGTCAGTACTGAGAACCGCTACAATATACTGAACAACAAAAAAAATAAAAGAAGCCTAGAGTTGCTTGATTTTTATTCACATAGAAGTAGCACTTTTGTTCTGTATCTCATTGCTCTAATTAACAGTATTTTTTGTTATGTATGGTAACCAAGAGTGAGCCAGTGTGGTTAAAGTCAAACTGTTCCAGGGCCCGGTTCATTATTTTCTCCCTAAAGAGTTAGTCTGGCCCTTATTATAGAAAAACTTCCTCACAAAGTAAAAACAGATAAACCTCATATCTTTCTTAATATGCCATTACAGCATAAACTGTAACAGTACAGTACTAAAAATAAAATCTACTTAGCATCACTGATTTTAGATTGTACTGAAAAATATATGCAGCACAAACACACGAAAAACTAACTCTTTCCCACCAATGAACAAGCAACTGCATTAGCCACAATCATAATTACAAAGCTCTGTAATTATGACTTGATGACCACTGTTCTCTGTAGGTGGCTGAGAGACAAACCACCTAAAAGTGGATGTCAGTCCGCTGTACTTGGGGCCATGATTGACAACCTGGAGATCTCCATGATCCCGGCCCTGGTGCTGCTGCCTCTGCTGCTGCGTGTTGCAGCTCTGCACTACCTGCTGGGTATCATCATCCTGACGGCTCTGCCCGGCCTGGTGCTGTGGTACTACTACGCCACGCACCGAAAGAGGAGACGCACCCTCTTCTTCCTCACTCTTTCACTTTACTCCCTGTTCTACATGTATTACCTCTTCATCACAGAGATTTTACCACGTGGGAACGTCAGCCAGCTGCAGTTGTGTACTGTGACCACTGGCATGATTCTCACTGTCGTCTTTCTTATTCTCACCAAGAGAGGCCCAGGATTTGTAACTACTTCCCCACAAGAAGCACACAGTCCCAGTCAGGAGGCTAACAAGGACACCAGACACCTTAATGGATCTACCCAATCAGCAGCGTCCTCCTCGGGGACTCTAGAAGGGTTGCAGACAACAAAAGAGGCCCTGACAGCAAAATGGAGCAGGTGTCCTATGTGCGAAATAATGCGACCCCCGCGGGCTGGACACTGTCGAACCTGTGGATCCTGTGTGCAACGTCTGGACCACCACTGCATCTGGTGGGTTGGATTTAACATGCAAGTTTAAATATTTCTTGTCTGGCCTGTGAATCACTTCTAAGTCAGTTGTGTTTTTCTGTATTGTGCATTCACAACAGATCATGAAATATAGAGTTATGATGGATTTGGTAACTGCTGTACAGTCATATCTTCACATCTACTTCCTGTTTTCTTCCACAGTAGAGAAAGGTTTAAATGAACCATTAATCACTGTCTAATACCAGGCCTAAACCTTTCGATGGTCCTTAATAACCTGAATTTGTCTGTGTGTCTGAATATTTTATCCATTGACACATTTTTCAATTAAATAGATATGAGTCAGCCATTAAATTGTAATTCATTGATAAAAACATATTATTCCCACTTACCCATATAGTTGTATCTGTTGTATGTTTGGGTTTATTTTTTGAGAAGTGAAGTGTCTGACATTTCTGCTGCCACCTTGAAATAGTGGAGGTGAATGGAAATTAGTAAATTGTGCCTGAAGCACAGAAAACTGACATTTCGAAAACTCCAAGGCATCAATGTTTTTTCATAATCGACAGGTCTTACTGTGAACAGTTTTGACATTTTAGGAACTATTTTCCTCCGAAGGTGAAGAAAAATGTTGCCTTGTCTCCTAGATTAGCTAATGCTCTCTGCAATACACTTATAACCTAAAGACAAAATTGATTTATTATTCACTGTAGACAGAAACCTCTGATATAACCATGGCATGATGCAATTTTAAACTCTATGGAGCCACACCCTGCAGGCAGGAGGTGCGCTGCTGCTTCAATCTGGTCTGACTGGTACATTGTGTTGTGTGTCTGTGTTATGCGTGTATGTGTTGAGACGTTGTAGGATAAATAGCTGTGTTGGACAAGCAAATCATCGCTGTTTCCTGCTCACCCTCTCTGTGTTCGTGTTGACCTCTCTGTATGGGATCAGTTTGGTGCTTCACAGCCTCTGTCCTCGGCAGTATCTGATGACGGCTCTCCTTTATTGCCCCGCCGTCTACAGTCAGTCTAGGTATACAACTCTTTTGTATTCTGTCTCCACCACAGGATGCAGGTGACTATAAAACTAGATGTAAGAGTAGATGAGAAGTCAACATTGTAAATGTTCTTGAAAGTAATATTAAAATAGGAATTATGAACTGAACTTTCCTGGCCGAGATTAGATATGTATATATGATGAATATCAGTGAAAAGGGTTATTAGTAAGGACATAAAAGTACAGAAAAGTTTCTTTTTTTATGAGTCATGTATTTTCAGTGCTTTAAAGATTAGTTTATTTGGAAATGATAGAATGACAACTATTAATAGAAATTGTTTGCAAAAGAAATAAAAACTCAAAACCCACCTTTTCAGCTTGTGTCATAGTTAAATTGCTATAATAACTTTATTTATGTATCCATTATTGTCTGTTGTTTATTTTAAGAAAGCATTAACAGCAGATACATTTTTGGTAAAGAGGGAAAAAGCATTGTAATTTACCCTCTTTTTTGCCTTGGACTGTGTCTATTTACTATAAATAGAGTGCTTAATACTGATTGTCAGATCAGCTTATACCGTGGTTAAAGTTAAACAATAGTTATGTGGCATTACAAACAAAGATGATGTGATAAAGTAATTTTTCTAGACACAAGAGGGCAGAAGTACCAGTTACGTCTTTTTGTCCATCATCTAGTCAAATTTTAAGATGGAATAGCCTAGTATCGTTAAAAAAACATTTATAGAGGGTTTTAAAAGGTTGTGCTAAATGCATTTCAAACATATATATTGCTTTAATGTGATTTTCCCTCTTTCTTTATGTTTACAGCACGGCACTTTGCTTCACCTGTGCTTGGTACAGCAGCATCATCACAGGTGGACTGCTTTACCTGTTGGTGGCACAGGTTCTGAATATCAGCTTCAATGTGACGGAGCGGGAGTCTCAGCTGGCTGTCAGGAACAAAACAGGCCAGAGCCGCCTGTGGGGACTCGTCATCGACACAGGAGAGTATTCACGTGGCTTCTGTCAGAACTGGGTTGAGTTCCTCACCATGGCAGATGCCTCGGTTTCTCCTCGCTCCAGCCTCACTGACTTGGTCTAGTTTCACTTCAGACTCTCCAGTAACATCAAGATAACAGACTGATAATACAGCATGTCTTTCTTAGGATATATCAGCTGATGACTTACAATGCTTAGTGCATTACAGCCACTCAATATAATGTATATTTAAAACTCTAAAATAAGTTGCAGGGGTAATACCACGGTGCTAATGACTGCTTAATAGACTGCACATCAATAACTGTTTTACTGTTGCACAGTTCTCTATCAAAGGAAATAATCTACAGGCATAAGGCTGCAGGCACTGCCATGTTACTGTATATATTTTCTCTACCTGCAGAAAGTCATGTATGCTGTCTCACGGAATTCATAATATTTTTGACTGCATGTCAATAAAAGAATTGAATAACAATCTTAACCTTGTAGTAAATGAGTGGTGGGGTTCATGTAAAAGAAGAACAACAGCCACACTTTCAGCTCTGTGCGCTCTGCTGATGGTCAACAACTAGAAAACATAAAAAATGTAGCTTGGCCTTAGGGTGGGGCCATATTATATCCCACATTGTGACAGCAATTTAAGGTGTTTATCCTATGTGCAGTGGCCACAGGATATACCAGACCTTGCTACTGTTGCTAGCTCCCTGTCATTCAGACTCTGATTGGAATATTGTGTCTGATGAATGTAACGAAACGAAAGGATGGAGCCAGCTGAGGTCATCAAACTGTGAGAAATCAGAGGGACATGCTGGGGAGATTATATATCCCATCCCAGCACTTCTATAAAACCTAATTTTAGACTGTTAAGTCAGCATTAGATATAACAAAACAGGAATGAAAACCTGGCACAGACAAATAGAGCTCTGCATGTGACCCCTGTGAGTCAGTGGTCAGCGTACAGCCATAACTTCCTGCAGCAGCTTGCAGTCATCTTTACTATTATGACTGATACAATCAGGCTTTTCCTGTATTTATTTAATATTCTCCTCTGCAGTGTGCTGTGTTATTGATTTTTTTAATCTAATGGTTTTGTCCATTGCTGTCTCATAGTGCCTGTGGTGCTCCTTTTACACTGTCCAGACGCAGACATTTTACGACATGCAGCGATTGTTTCTGGAAAGAGTCGATTACTGATATTATTTATTTATAATAAGCTGAAGTCCACAATCCTGTCCACCATCATAATGTATAACATTTAATGTGTTTAAGTACATCTATTCACTCATACGTAGCATAATAAACATAGAAAAACAACAGTGTATGTACCCTCCAGTAATGTCTAGACTCCAGTGTTTCTGTCCATACACTTCCCATTATTTCCCATTATCAGTTCTTATAATGCACATCTTGAATGGAGCAATCGATCAAGCTGTTTAAATCAATACACTTCCTCCATTTAAATCACTCAGTCTATTAACTGATTTTATTCTGGTTTATTCTCTCCATGCCCCCCGTACCTCCATGTCAGTAGCTCTGGAGTCAGTTTGTATGAATGGCCTTTCCTCGTTCGCCACCCTTCAGACCAGTCAGTGTATTACAGCCTTGTGGCCAATAGACCTCCACTGACTGACTCAAGCAGGCTTTAATACTCAGTAATCAGATCTATATTTTTCATATGAACATTTCTAACTGAGTGTTATTTTGAGCTGTTTAGCTACTGAGTTGTAATATCGTACTGCCCTAAGGCCTGCTCATACACAGTCCACAAAGATACAGTCCACCCTGACTGCCAGGTCAATAGGTATTCTGTGTATTTATATAATTATATTACTGTTTTTAGTGCAAGTGTTCACAAGTTGAAGAATGGGCGTTATGCTGGAGTTCATTCAGTTTTGCAGGTGTTTAATATTTGATATTTGCATCTACTTTGTATGTGTGTGTTGTATTCAGCTCCCCACAGAGTTTGGTTCTCTCAGTGGTATACATACATCTGTCGGAGCAGAGCATTCTCTATAAAGAGATTTTTCTTTACAATTCCCTGAGTGTGGCATAATCGCCCCTGCGTTAAAATATATTCATTTCTCATTATACTTTGCCATGTGAATGGCCTACAGCCAATTGTCATCACAATGTTTTGTTTGATCAACTTTGTGTCGTGGCACTGTCTAAAGATGACTATTGCTGTGCAATGCTCTGGTTCAATACATTGAAACAATTACTGATCAGATGGATGTCAGAGCTTTTTAGGTATACAGGTAGGTGTCAGTCCCCAGAGGATGAGTCCTAATGGACCTCTGATGGTCCTTTCAGCCTCAAGGGCAAACTCTTTTCATGGCCACTTGGTCACTCCATAAGCTTTACTCTAGCGCCATCCTCAGGCCAATATTTAAACTTTATCCGCAAGAACTCTCATGATCAAAAACGTAGATTCAGCACATTTAACTGTGACCTCTCTTGACTTTAATGAACCCTTCCTCTAGTGCCACCCCGAGGCCAAACTGCTTTTGTAGCTTGAAATATGAATGTAATATTGTTCATTCTATCTACCACTTAGTGTTGTGATGATACCTCCCAGCTTTACAAATACTTGGGTTGGCTGGTAGGTGGAGCTGGCAGGGTCACCTGTCTTACCTGCTAATGTGGGTGTGGCTCTCAGAAAGTTATAGAAGACTGCCCCTCTGGGAGTCTCACTCTCTCTCTCAGCTTGGCATACAGCACATTACACCACATTTCACTCAAACACACACCTTTAACATTACTGATATGACTGATATCTTTACACATCTCACCATTTAGTTGACATGTTTGGATTTTGAGTTAAACAAATTACCTTTTAGACTGGTATATCTGTGTGGGGACCAAACTTGAGACAGTTGGTAACAGGGTGTAATGAACAAATTGTATATTATTATTAACATTTTGTTCCTGATTCATTGAAATGAAAAAATATATAATTTATTCTTATGCTCTGATTCCAGTCTTCTTCAGTGCTATCATTTTGTGTGTGTGTATGTATGCGTGTGTTTATGTACGTGTGTGTGTGTGTATGCGTGTATGCGTGCCTGCCTTGAAGCTTCTTGGCACACAGGACAGATGTTTCAGCAGAGAACTGCTTTGGGCAATGAGCTGTTAACAAAATATTCAGTCATATTTTTTCCGTGGTGAGTTACCTTCTGTATATTATATTATTATCATTAAGAAGAAGAAGAAGAAGAAGAAGAAGAAGAAGAAGAAGAAGAAGAAGAAGATATACTTCATTGATCCCTTAGGACTCTTTCTTTTCATATACACACAACCAAGCAGCTGAAATGCACATGTGGACATGCAAAGGGGGAGAGATGGTGGCGTACCAGCACCCCCCATGAGAGGGTTCGGGATTAGGTTGCCTTGCACCTCGGGCATTGCTGCACAGGAGGTGAAAACTGGCCACCTCTTCCAGGTCCACCAGTCCAGCCAACAGTCCCTACACACTGAGCTACGCCGCCCCACATTAATCAGTCCAAGGCAAGCTAAATGGGAATTTATCAGTTCTTCAAACATTTTTAAAAGTGCAGCACATTTTAAGATTAATGCTTAATGCATTCAAATATATCATTCTGGCATCTGTTATCACCTAAGGTTAGGAGCTGGGCACCCCTGCATGAACAAAGTCTGAGTCCTTGCAGCAGTCGTGCATGGGTTCAAGGTCCGGCCTGTGGCCCTTTGGCTTCGTTACCCCCTCTTATCCTCCCCCTCCTGTAACTTGCGATTTTTTTTTTTTTTTTTTTTTTTTTTCTTTTTCCATGTATGTATCCATCTTAGACTTGTAATTACGAACCACAAGCAGGGATGGACGAAAACTGTTTAATGGCAGCTTCAGTGAAACGGACCACTTATGGTGTCTGACAGAAATTGGTGCGGAAAATTCAAGCGACCCATCGATTCATTAATACGTTGATAAACGTTAGCCAGCCAGATGCAACCCAAGCAGAGTAATTATTCAGTAAATGGTGCACTATGCAGCTTAAGGCTTTTTTAAAGGTGGTGCAGAATATAAAAACACTTTTCTGGCACCACTACCTTTAAATATTTGTTTTTTCTCATGGCAAAAGGCATGCCTGTTTAAACCTGGCAAGGTTATTGCAGGTTGGGAGGAATCCTTTGAACTGTAGCATGTATCTGCCTTTTTGTCGAGAGCTTCAACTTTGTGATCCAACTTATTTAGAAGGTGTCCAATAAAATCAGATTAACAGACACAAACTAATTGGTAATGGAAATGTTTTCAACTGTACTTTCTACAGGAAGAAGTACTCTGCATCGTATTTAGCTAAACTTTCAGTGTGGGAAATTCAAAACTATTATGAAAGCGATTAAGGCTCGTCTTACCCCAAGTGGGCAATAAAACATACTGATGTCACTTGATTCTAGCAGTCTTACCCCAAAGCAACTATTCACAGACCGGTGATTTGTATGATGTCACTACCACTCCTCTCTAGGGGGTGGAGAAAGCATCGGCTATTTAGCATGAGTCAACACACAGAGTTATATAGATAACAAATGCCACGTATCTATCTAACAGAATCTTGGGAGAAAATCAGACAACTGGGTTAAATAATCAACCCTTAACAAGCAAAACTGTAAAACAGCTATTGGGACATCAGGTGAAGCTAAGAACAAGCCTCTATAAGTACAACCAGGAATCGGTAAGTACCTATCAGCACACGCAAGTTGTTCATGCACAAGTAGGCAGAACAAAGAAGAAATATCGTTATGGTATATGTAATACACATGGGTCATCATAAACAATGATAAATCATAAATACCATAGACTTGTACAGAACTATCCAAATTAGATAAGGATGGGTATATCTCTATTCATGTGGCAGGATTCGTCCAGATTGATGCGGACAAAGCAGGTGAAGGGGTGTCCAAACTGTTCAGCAAAGCAAGCATGAGATACAGAGATAAGGCACTCACTGTCACCAATCTACTATGGTCACTCACATATAGGTATCAGGATTATGCTTCTTTCGATCTCTCTGCAAAGAGACCAACCAGCAATAAGGAAGCATTAACATATGTATTGTCTTGTGCATGACACATACAATTAAGACCACTTGTGGCTCTTGATGTCTCACACAGGAGGGGAAGGCTGGTGAAGCCTGATTGATATCCGTGTCTATGTGATGAATGGTTTGCGACAAGATCCGCCATAAATAAACCATACCAGTCTGCAAAAGGTCTAATGCGAAATACAAGATCTTAGTTTCCAAATACAAATGAACTTATTCTATACAAAAACAATACTGATTGACTGTAAACCGCAGGCAAAATGATTATAAACACAAGCATAGTTTAATCATAATTTAGGGCAAAAGTAAGCATCAAATTATGAAAGTTAAAGGAGTCTGACCAAAGAGTGGAACGCCCATTCAGATAAAAGATCCTGAAAACGTCACACTGTCACAATAATCTGCCAGCAAAAACTGTGTTTATAGTATTATAATGATATATAACACAACAAAAGCCCAGTTAGTTAATCTGGATTACAGTATCTTAGATCGCGAGCTGATGAAAACAATATTCTCATATGACATTTCACCTGCCTGATTGATCATCATGCAATGTCTTTCACGATGTTTCAGACTCACCAGGACCGGAGACTAATGTAGTAAAGCAGGAATGATATCAATTCTCACAAAATTTGGACCAGCCCCAGAAAGGCACATACATGATGGAAACACACACAGATGAAATGTCAGCAAAGCTACGTGGAGCCGTTCATTTTTACAGGACACTTTCCGTGTGTTCACAGGGAAGGCAGGGTCATACAGGAAATGACATGTTGATAAAGAAAGGGAAAGGTCAGACCTAGCCCAGATTGTTTTCACTGCCTTAATACTGAGTTAACTAAACATCCGACCAACTAAAGGTAGGTCACGCATTGAGAAAGCCAAGCAGCATTTAAATCCATCCACATTACTGTATA